GTTGCCCAGAACTGCCTTTGCTATTCTGGGTTGCTTCTGGTTCCAAACGAAGTTTAGGATAGATTGTTTTCTCTAATTCTGTGTGATATGCTATGGAATTTTGATAAGAATTGCATTAAATCTGATAAGTTTTAGAAGTATGACCATTTTTACTATATTGGTTCTTCCTACATAAGAGCAAGAAATACCTTGTCATTTTCTGATATCCTCTTCAATCTCTTTTTCAGAGGACTGTAGTTTTCAATGTAGAGTTCTTTTACATCCTTCATTAGATTGATTCCTAGGGTTTGGTTTTGTTTTTTTTTTTTTTTTGGATTTTGTGAAAGGTATTGTTGTTTCCCTAATTTCTCTCTCAGTCAGTTTGTTGTTTGTGTACAGGAAGGCCACTGATTTTTGAGTGTTGACTTTGTATCTAACTATGTTACTTTGCTTATTAAATGTAGTAGTTTTTTAGTACAGTTTTTGGGGTTTTCTAAGAAGAGCATCATGTCATCTACTAATAATGATAATTTAACTTCCTCTTCTCCTACTGTTATTTTTATGGTTTCTTTGGTTTCCACACCATGCTTTCTTCATTTCAACATTATAAAAATTAGCTCATGCTTTGTTTTAGGACTTCTCTGGTTTCTTTCTTAAATAGCTAAATGTTTGATTTATTTGAAATATATTTTATGAAACAAATCAGACACACATGTAGCTCTTTTTCATCTTTATTCAGTAAATGTGCTCAAAGCTCATCTACTGAATAAGGCATCTTCTTCCTATTGATCTAAAATATCATTTTGATCTTAAATTAACTTCTTACATATTCTTAGATTTAACTGTGGACTCTATTCTGTTCCTCTCACTAGTCTGTCTATTCCAGAACTGACACCAATTTGTTTCACATAATTTCATAATTTAAAAATCTTCTAGAGAAAGTCCTTTTTATAAATCCTACTTTCAATTGTATACTTTCTTGGTAATTTTGAAATCATTAATAAATTGTTGCATACCCAATACTAATAAAAATGATCATTCTAAAATAACTTGGCTAAGGCTAAGTTATAGGATATACTCAAAACACTTGTTCTCAAAATATTGTTCATAGTCCTAAATTTAAAACCCTAGCTTGTTTTTTGTGACTCACCTAAAAATAAAACATCAAACCAAAATAAAATTTCTGAAAACAAGTAACAAGAACAAAATTATATCATTATTTTCTTTTTAAATGAAGTGGTACCTTGATTAAATTATTGCACAAACTTAAATTATTGCACAATTCTGGTCCAAATAAAGTTGGATGAGAACCAAATCAAATTTCTCCACAAGGCCAGCACTGAACCTCACTACTGAATTTGATTTGATCCTCATCCAGTTCAGTTTGCGACCAGAATTACGGAAAGAATTAAGTTTGTGAACTGAGGTACCACTGGATATCATGAGATAACTTCTAAACTAAAAATAAAGAGCTTATCAAATGCTCTGGCTAAAAAGGGAGGTTTCAAGTAAAAGCTCAGTTCCTGGTATACATGCAATGGTTTCATTAGTATACTTTTCTATCATCTGGAGTTTAGTTTGACAAATGCATGCTAGAAGAGTACAAATGACAGTATGTTCAGTCTGTCACCAAGTGCCTCAAGGTTGGAGTAGAAGGTTGGGATAAAAAGTTTCAACTGTGGTATTGCTTTGTAACATTTTCATTTAATTTTCTCTTTGAAAAAATATAACTCACTTGTGATATTTTTATTTATTAAAAATAAAGCATCTTATGGCAAGCTTAGTGTTCTTTTCAGGTAACAGAATGGAGAGGATTAAACAAGGAGAAGAAATCAGAGGCTCTCTGAAAGGACATTCAGGTACCCTAAAATGAGAAAGATTTGGACTTTGGAGGCTTCACAGAAACAGAATTACAATAGTAAAACTACACACTCTTAAGAGTTTCTTAAAATAAAATTTTAGCTTTTCTTGGCCTCATATCTTGCCCATGTAACTTCTACCCACTGATTTGATATTCAACAAAAATGGTGCATAGCCTTATGAGTGTTTCTCTTTTTTTGGTACTGAGAATTGAACTTAGAACTTCGTACTTGCCAGAAAGGCCTTTGTGCAGCTGAGTTATATCCCTGGCCCCTTTATGACTTTTTTTTGTCTCTCAAGAACAAATCCTACCATTTATCCATCTCCTACAATATACACTAGGCATATCCTGCTCATACCTTTATTTTCATCCTCATCATATCACTTTAATTACTTACATGAACTCTTTATGGTTAAGAGTTGTATTTTACTCTTTTTAAAATCTTCACTGCTTAGCACAGTGACTGCCACTTAACAGAGGTTCAAAAAACGTTCCTGAGTAGCCAGGAGTGGTGGTGCATACCTGGAATCCCAAGGTAAGTGGATACAGGAAGATCTCATGAGTTGAAGGCCAGCCAAGGCTATAAGTCTCAGGCCAGCCTGGTCTATAGACAGAGACACTATCTCCAAAAAAAAGTTTTGGAGTGAATGAAGGGAAGAAAAGCAGCAAAAAGGTTAATGTTTTGTTCTTTCTTATACTAGTAACATCCATGTGGGATATTATGTTTAGTCTGGGAGCTATACATTGAGAAATACAGAGCAAACTTGTTTAAATGCTGATCTTATAGTAAAGAGACCAAAACCATGCCACGTGAGGATCAACTGAAGCAACAGTTCATTAACTTTTAGGATGAATGAGAAAACAAAGACTCAGAGCTACTTCATTATTCATCCAACAAATATTTTATAGTATTGTTCTGGGTGTTATAGATACAACCATGGTCAAAACAGCATCCTTGTCCAAACAAAGCTTCAGTCTAGTGAGGGACAGAAGCTAAATGTAGTATCTTGTAGTAAGGGCTGTATTTGAGAAGCAGAGGTGCTTTAGAAGTACATAAAGGGTTTGTGGAAACGTTAGCCTCTAAGAAAAGGATAAAAAGATAATCAGGACTCAGAAAGAAAGATAACTTTTTTGTTTATTTCACACAGAAAAAAAGCATATATAAGGTGAGAAAAAAGTGGTTCTAAATATTGGATATTTTGGTATGGATGGTAGTTGGCGTTCAAAAGACAAATAGTTTCAAAAAGAGGTTGTACATGGAGCCAGTATTGAGGTATGAGAGCATCTCATACACCAAGTTAGACTATGCTAATGAGAAGCAGTACAGAGAGGTTTGGGGTGTAGTCATCCTGGCCACTGAGAGAAGAATGGACAGCAGTGAAAAATGGACAGGAGGAAAGTAAGGCAGGAGACTGAAAGACTAGGAAGCTATGCCAGTAATTTAGGTATGAGATAACAGTGACTTGAACTATGAAAGTGTCCAAATGACAGTAAGAAGGTAATCCTTAGAGCTATTTTTTTTAATAACTAGAGGCCAGTAAGTAAAAACCGGAGAAACATGTTCCATTTGGTCCTGAAAGTTAAAATGTGGCTAATAAAAAGAAACACATTTTGGTCCTATTAAGTCTCTGTCTAATATGAAGCAATTTATCTGAGGCTGTACATCCTTAAGAACTTGTGGAACTCAAAACATTTTACATGAAATTCAAAATGTTAAATTTTGCAAAGCTGGACCAGGGGAGATTAAAGATTTTTTCCAGCATTGAGGTTTCACCAATCTACTGAAATTTATGTCAATTTGATATTTGGGGTTGCCCTCTATGATCAAGGGGGAAAATAAAATATGTAGGACTGTTATATCAGAGGATATGCCTGTGCTACCAATTGTCTCATAAAGAAAACTAAACTTTCAAACTTTAACATCATTCACCAACATATAGTTTATGTATATTGAATATTCATGTTTTACAATTCGTTGTCAATATACAGGTTTATAGCATGCCTAAAGCTGTGGCTGAATTGCAACTATTATTATTATTGACACCAGCAACAAAAACAGCAGCTGCTATCTCACTGAGTATTTTTCATGTGCCTTCCTGACCAGACTAGCTCACTATTTCCCATGTTTAAGTAGGTTTTATGCTATGAGGAAATGGGTTCAGAAAGATTAAGTAATTTGCATGAAGTTATAATAAAAACTGATGATTGGGGAATATGAATTTAAAATTGATGACAGACTTGTACAGCAATATTTTTTCTACCACACATCACCTTATACTTGAGGAAAATTTTAAGGACTATTAAAATTACTACTATTTGTTTACAAAGGCTAGGCATTTTTATCTGCATTATTTTATTTCATTCAGTTCATCAGCTCACATTCATAATGCTTCATTTCAAAGAATGTCAGAAGATTTTACTTCAGAGTCGTCTTTATATATAGTTGCTGAACAGAATGAAAATCATATTCCTCTACAATTGAAAGTTATTTGAGACTTCAATGTGTTTTCAGATCTATTAGCACGTTTAATCTTCTTTACAACCCTATGAAGTAGGCAGAATCGGATTATTCCCATTTTAAAAATCAGACAGCTAAGATCAGAGTCACAGAGTTAAGTGGCAAAAGTTGGTTCTCAAGCACCCAGGAATTTTGACTCGTCATCTCATGCTCTACTACTTTATATTATGTACCATTAGGCAATGGAAGGTACTATGACATAGGAAGAAAAATCAAGAGGAAGCAAATAGTGATAATAACAGAGCTGAACACATGAAATTGCAGTAACAAAATATATTAAAGTACTGAACAAAAATTGACAGTAACTGGACATCAACATTTATGTAAACATGTAGAAGGATTTTAAAGACTTGAGACATTAAAAATCATGTTTATATAGAAACTCTAAAAGTTGACTGAGAAATACTAGTTTTATTCCTCAAATCTTAATACCAAAGTACACTAAATGGGTGAAAACCAAACCAGACTTGCTACTGGGTAACATTTTAATATTTCAGTTTTTATTTTGTTGATAAATTTAGAAAACTTTTTTAAAAGTTGTGAGTAATTTTAGTGTTCTTTTCAAAAACTTCCATAAACGCATTTGAAGCTAGTCAGTTTTCAGTGTACAAATTCAAATACCACATTATTTAAATCACTTACTCAAAATTATTTTTAGGGCCGGAAATATAGCTCAGTAGCACAGTGCCCGCCTGGCAAGCATGAGGTCATGATTTCAATTCCTGGTACATAAATAAAATTTTTTTTTACCTTGCAATGTCCACTAATCCATAAGTATTAATAATATGAACTTTACTCAATCCTAACAAAACTTTCATATTGAAGAACCTCTAAAACCTAATAAATATTTCCATATTGCCCTTATCATTCCAGAGACTAGAAAACTTTTGGGTTTAATTTCAGTTAAATTTATCTGATGAGTAGTATCTTTTGGGAAAATTCCACCAAACTCTTGATTCATTCATTGAGATTTTTAGTGCTGGATTCAGTGAGTTAAGAGTCAGCTTTAGTTTGATTCATTTTCCTTTCTTGGCTGGTTGTGACGAATCCGGGTGTGTCAATTTTATTGGATTAAAAATGCCTTGCAAATTAGTATAGGATGCTCCTGGATGTGTTTAGGAGATGGCCTTGGACCCTGTATATGGTCCTTCACCTGTTTCTCCTGGAACAGCTGCTTCCTGGCTGCCATAAACTAAAGCAGCTTTGCCCTGCCATCCCTTTTCCATTAGGGTTCTGGCTTGGAGCCTGCCAATGATATACTGAGTTTCCTGAAACCATGAGTTAAACTAAATCTTGCTTCTTTAAACTGTGGGTGTTGGGTATTGTTTCTCAGTAATGTAAAGTTGACTGATATTCTTGGTCTGTGGATGTCTGATAAATGGGCTTGACATGACAGCTGAGGAAAATCACTGGCAGATGAGAACACGAGCTTCACTGGTTTATAAGCAGAGGCACACAGACTTCCTAGTGGATTAAAACCAGTTGAAATCTAATCTCTGATCGAGTAATTCCCCTTATTTAACAGAAATGAGAAAAATATCTTACCTAGCTCGAGGATGTCAGTAGTTTCTATTAAAGACAAAAATATTATAGTATAGATCACCATGGTAAACATATCAAAATGACAAAAAGGTGAAATTCTGTGTAAAAATAGGGATTTGAAATTTTGTGTAGTTCAATTATTTAAAAATATAATGGATTTTATTAGTAGCTGTGGAAATATACCACCCAATTTTGTCTTCCTTTGGAAACTAAACTAGTAAAAACTATAGAAATCCAGGGAGACTAAGCAACTGTGCCTAAAACTATACAGCTAAATTGGGATTACTTATGCTCAGAATCAAGGTTTCCTTTCAGTTCAAAATAAAATACACTGCATTTAACACACATCTCTATAAATGACAATATTTGTTTTTGCTTTAACCAGTGAGTTATTTATAAAATCAGACCTTTAAGAAAAAATGCTTTATGGGGAAAATGGCAAATAAAAATTTTTTTCAGTATAAGTTGCTTTTTTCTTACCTTGATACTGAGGTGCACACTCTGATTGGGGACCATATTTGTATTTCTTAACATCATTCCAATCTATTGCTATAGGAAAAAAGAAAATAGTTATTTGGAAAGAAAATATAAAATTAAATACTTTTCCCATTTGGCAATATACATTAATACTTTTCATAAAATACACTACTTCTGAGATTCTACTCTAGGAAATTATCCAAATACAAAAAAAGGTTTTATAATTGATGGATTAATTATGGGGTCTCAACATGTAATTCACACTGATTTGAAACTATGAAGTGATCCTCCTGCCTCAGCTTGCTGAGTACTGGGATTCCAGGTGTGTGCCACTATGCCCAGCTTGAAAGGTTTTAAAAGTTTATTGATACAATATTAGGTACCAATGATCACATTCATCATAGGGAATTTGTACTGTACATGATACAACTGGATACTTTTTCTCCACAGTCCTGTAGTCTTCCTTCAACTCCTCTTCCCCTATTTATTGACAAGGGTTGATTCCATTTCTCCCTTCTTTTCTCATCACTTTTTTCTTGTCTCTTCCTTCCCCCTCACTCCTGTCTAGTTTCCCTTCCCATATGAACATTTTCTTCCTACTTCACAATATCTATTGTACATTTTGGTTCTTATTTAAACTTTTGGTTTCTCACACCAAAGAACCAATATGGCATTTACATAAGTGTGTCTCATTTATTTCACTTAAAGGTATGGGCTCAGAATATACTTATTTACCTAGAAAAATTTCAAACATATCCTTCTTTTTGGCAAAGTGGTACTCCACTGTATAAAAATGCACATCTTCTTTATCCATCCATTAGCTGATGAGCATTTGCCTGTTTTCAAGATTTAGCTATCACAAATTGGGCTGCTATAAACCTGGTGTGCATGTATCACTGTGGTATGATGCTTCTAATTCTTTCAGAAAAATATCAAGAAAGCAAATATCTGGATCAAATGAAACCTCTAGTCCTAGTTTTCTGAGGAATCTCCATGCTGATCTGTACAGTGGTTGCACCAGTCCACACTCCCACCAACAGTGGAGAAGGCTTCTTTTACCCCCACAGCCCCTTTAGTATTTGTTATTGGTTGATTTTTTGATAATAGTAGCCATTCTTTCTAGGGTGAGACAGAATCTCAACATTGTTTTAATTTGCTTCTCTTGAATGAACAATGATGCTGATCTTTTTTTCATATATTTGTCATTTTTACTTCATCTAAGAAGTGTCTATTCATTTCCATTTTTGAGTTGAGTTGAAATTTCGGGGGGGGGGTCTGATTTTTTTTGAGTGTGTTATATATTCTAGATAGTAAATCAAAAAGAATGTATTTTAAAAGTTTTAGTATTACTTATAATAGGAGAAAAAGAAGAAAGGGAACACCTCAATGTTCAAAACAGAAGAGTGATTAACATTAGGCCACTTGTTAAAGTACTTTTTAGTACTTTTCAGTTCTTTTAGAACAAATGTGAAAATGGTGAATTTATAATGTGATATTTTTATAATTATCAGGTAATTATCAGGTATAATAATCAGATATAATTATCAGGTAAAACATGGAAACAAAAACTGTATTGATGGGATACCCACAATTATGTGAAAAAGTAAAAAAAAAAAAAAAAACCTCAACAAAACCCCTCCAGAAACCAAGCACCTCTGTGGGTGAACTGTGCTTTCCAAAACTGTTCCTCCTCAGTATTTCAGAATGTGACTGTACTTGGAGACAGATATTTACCAAGGTAATTAAGTTAAATGAGGTTATTAAGGTGGGCCCTACTCCAATATGACTGGTGTCCTTAGGAGGAAATCTGGACACATGGTTAGAGAAAAGATTATATAAAAACAGGAGAAGACCGCCATCTGTTTACCAAGAACAAGAGGCTTCACAGGAAAACAATACTGCAACATCATGGTCTTGGACATTTAATCTCTACAATTGTGAGAAAATAAATTTCTGCTTCTTAAATCACCAAGTTTTTTGTTGTTGTTATGATGTTCCTAATAAAGTAGTGCAATCCCTGAAAATTAGCAGAGGGAAAAAGACAGAAGTAAACACAGCATATATAAATAGTTAATAATCTTTCTGTGGTAGTACTAGGTTCCTCCTTTCTATTTTTTAATCATATAAATTCAAATATGTATTCCATAGAAAAGTATTATTCATATAATAGGATTATATTTTCCTTGTTTTGATATTTAGATTTATTCACTGACTACTGCTTTCTTACTATCAACCATTTACCAGGACTTCAGTTCTCTTTTTTTTTTTTTAGTTTTCTTCTCCTGCTCAGATTCCATGGTGTCTCATTAAAATCACTCCATGGCAAACACTTTTACCTCTCCCATACATTTTTGGTCAAACTGGCCTACTAAAGTCTTAATCCAAACTCTGGTTGAAGCCATTAGCAATCTATACTGTTACCCCAGCAGCTCACTAGTGCTAAACAAAACAAAACAAAACCTTACTGTTTAAACTCAAGGTTCAATTCTCAAATGTCACTTTGTACGGCCTAGAAATCATACCACATTTCTCCAGTTTTGCTTTTCTACTTTAAAAAATTTTACACTTTCTCTCTCTTCTCAAATTCCAAATATTCCCACCTCCAATGTTTCCTTAAGGAAGATTTTAAATTCAGGATTCAATTAGAAACAGAAGTAAGGTTAGAAACACTTCCACTCATTTTTACAAAGATAGAGACTTGATCTTGTTTAGTGGTATATTGTAAGTGTACAGTGTAGCAGTAGGAACTCAGGGTTGGGTGAATGAATTAATCTGCTCACAAGTCATTCTTTCTGACTTTTCTTCTGTTACTGTGGATGAAGTATCTGAGCTTATCAAAAGCTTGTGCTCCATGTTTGCTCAAATCCCATCATCTTTATCCTCTCAGTGGTTTTACTTATATCCCTTCTGATAGATCATCTACACTAGCATTCTTTTTTAAATTTTATTTAAACAAAACAGAAAATAGATGGAAATAATACATTCATTCAGAGAAAAAATAAACTAAGAAATCACTAGTTGGTTTACATATTGTCATTTTACGAACAGTTGTTCAAGATACAAAAATGGAACATGTAAATACACTAGCATTCTTATTGTTTATCATTTCCTACCAAAAATATAATCTCCTAAACACTTCTCTCCTTTGTTAACTCCCACATATATCCCTCCTTTTATATTCTTCCATTTTGCTGCTCTCCACAGGAAAATTTAAAGGGCTATCTATGGTTACTGCCTTCTAACTCCCTAACATTCTTTCTTCACTTAAATATAGAGTTTTTCTGCTCAGCATTCCATTGAAATTACTCCAAAATACACTTTTCCAGGACTGGCCTCTTCTTGGAATTCCACAACCATAGATGCAACTGCTTAGGCTATCTCTCCATGGTTATCAGATATTTGAAACTTAACACAGTTAAATGCCTCCCTCAGCCAACCTGTTCTTGTCTTTTCCAATTCAGTAAATGGTACTTCCATCACCCAGTGGCATGCAAGCTACTGATTCCACTTACCAAGGCTAAGGTGGCCATAGCCATTTCTGAGCATCAATCTGCCAGCAGCAGAGACAAATGCTGAACATCCAATATGACATCATTCCCCTGGGTGTTCAGCCAGCTACTTGGCAAACTGATTACACTGAACTAATTCCGTCATGAAATAATAGGATTTTATCCTTTCTGAATTAAACACAACTCTGGATATGGATTTCACGTTTATGCTTTTGCCAAAACTGCCATTCACAGACTACAGGATGTCTTATTTACCTTATTTATCCCATGCAGCATTGCTTCTGAACAAGGAACTCATTTCATAGCCAAAGAACTGCAGCAATAGGTTCTTGCTTATAGAATTCATTGATCTCACTATGTTCCTTACCATCCTAATACGTCTGGCTTGACAGAACAGTTAAATGGTCTTTTGAAGATTCAAATACAGAGCTAGCTAAGTAACACTTCTTGTAAATTTGGGGCTAGGTGTCCCAAAGGCTGTCCATACTCTGAATAAATGTTTAATAGATGGTACTATTTTTCTGCTGGCCAAGATTCACAGGACCAGGAATCAAGGAATAGAAATATCACTCTCCATTATATATAGTGACTCACTAGTAAAATCTCTATTTTCTGTTCCCATGAGTTCATTTTCTGCTGGCTCAGAGGTTTAAATTCTAGAGGAAAGAATGTTTCTACTGGGAAACACAATAATTACTCCCCTGAATTAAAAGTTAAGAATGCCATCCACCTACTTCAGGCTCTCCAAGCCTCTCAGTCAACAGGCCAAGAAGAGCATTTCAGTATTGGCTGAGGTGACTGATCTTGACAACCAAGGGGTAATAGGGCTACTCTTCCACAATGAAGATAACAAAGAATATTCCTGGAACACAGGTGATTGCTTAGAGTGTCTTAGTAGTACCCCGCACTGCTACTTAGGTGAACAAAAAAATTAGAACCCAATCCAGGCAGGAATATAAATTGCCTAGAACCTTTGGGAAGGAAGTTCTGTGTCACTCAATGAAGTGAGAAACCACAACCAGATAAGGTTCATGATAAAGGCAAAGTGAATACAGGATAAACAGTAGAATAGTTATAAATATTAGTTATAAACTTTTGATCACCTAAAGGAGTAGAATGACCATGATATTTCCTCCCTATTTTATGTTTGTGTGTACATATACATTTGTTAAGTAAATTGCTTTCCTCCTTTATCATATAACAAAAGATGTAATAACTTTTAATCAGTATTTAAGTATTGTGACATCATAGTATTTAAATGGCAGTAAATCAGAAGAAGAGTAAATATCACTCAAAAAATTTATCCTGTCTTCTATGGAAGTGATTAGTATGTTTTGGGTTGTACACAGAAAAGATATTTACCTTAGGTAGAATTGTGACCTTGAATTTCTATCTTCATTTCAAGACAAAATATAGTTTTAGGAGATGTATATGGTTGCAAAGTTGAAAACAGGCAGAATTGTGATAGTTAATTTTATGTGTCAATGTGACCAGGTTAAAGGTGTCCAGAAAGCTGGTAAACATTAGCTGGCTGTGTGTCTTGGAAGAGACTGACATTTGAAT